GATCTGGCCAGCAAAAGTTGGCAGCAGATGATGACGCATATTGTTGGCAAATTTATAACAGCAACTGGCAACTGGCAACTGGCAACTAGTAGTCAAGTTTTCTTTCTCTGCAAGTTATGGCAGCTCTCACTTGACAAAGAGTTTCATGCGACTTTGCATTGAACCAAGTTGAGCTGCCTTGGCTAATGATGCGCTGCCATGGCATCGCTTCAGTGAATGTCCACTTTGCGTATACTCAATATGAGTCACCTTGTTTGAATATACCAAGTGCCACGCCCATATATGTCTACTAAGAGTTGCCAGCCTTGGTTCGCAAACTAAATGTGGTAGCAGACCTAACCAAGCTCAATCAAATACAGTCAAAATAAGTTGACTCCAAGCTTCAGTCTTTATCAATGGCTTGCGAAACTAGCATAATATTTATAATTGGAAAGTAAACTAAAGCGAAGGCCAAAGTTTCGAGCCACACACACATACACAAACACACACTCACACATACCCAGCGTGATATGCATATTGAAAGCCGCACTCAATTGGCAATGGCATGTGAGAAAAGCAAAGGCAAAAGCAGAACGAGAAACGTAGCTAGAAATACAACCGAAAACCAGATGCAAATGCAGATACAAATGCAGAATGCAGAATGCAGATGTGGAAATAGAAGGAGGACGAGTCAAGCGGCTGCGATGACTATGGCTGAATGGCTATTAAATACACGAGGGAAGCTACTTTTAACCCAAATCTGCGGGCATAAAAGCTGGCGACGGCGGCGGCGATGGCGGCCAAAGGAGCAGCCAGAGAGGCCAGGCCACACATGAGCACAAATAATGCAGTGATGCAGCGGCCATGATGGCCATGTGGAGCACTGCCAAAGCCGGCAAAGAAGTGAGAGCTGCTAAGCGAGCAAGAGAGAGGGAGAGTGTGAGTAAGAGAGAGAGAGAGAGAGAGAATGAGCGAGCTGGAGACAGCGACACTTGTCTGACACTGGCAGCAGCCTGGCAGGCGTCATCCGGGTGCAGATACTGCTAAGCGTACACAGAGCAGCTGAATTCCAGCTGCAGTTGAAGGCACTTTGGCAGCAGCTGCGGCAGCGGCGGCGCATTCAAATGCACACATGTTTGGGCGTGATTAAGCTGCAATTTTTATACAATATTTACACAGTGTGTGGGCGCATTAAGAATTGTACTGGCGGGTGGTGCCGCCAAGCGCCGGTTAGAATTCTAGCTGTCCGTGCCACATAATGACATTCATGCACACAGTTGCAAATGCCGCAGCGCAGCGTGTCGCGTCGCGTCGCGTCGCCGTGGCGGCTTCTCCATATAATACAGATATTACAATATGCGGATTATTAGGCATTATGCATGTGTATATCTATATCTCTCTTGCATACGCTTCTTTCGTCTGTGTGTGTGTGTGTGTGTTATTGTACTAACAATTTCTATTCATAAACGCTTGTGTGTGGGCGTGTGTGTGTGTGTGTGTGTGTCTGTGGCATGCAAATTTATTGTGTACAGCGACATTCTCATTTTGATTTTGCTTTTGCTTTTGCTTTGGCTTTTTGATAGGGATTTACATTTTGCATTGGCACGTGGAGTGTTGAAAGCCGTGTGGATTTTCGGTATTGGGATTTGGGTGCCAAGGTTGTGTGTGTATGGGTGTGTCTTTAATGCCTGGCTGTCATTAGCATTGCATTTGTTATGCCTGCTCTATGAAGACACATTATCTGAACGCCCGAAATCCATGTAGGGTGGCTTGAAAGCTCAACGAAGTGGCACAAATTAATTGAAAGCGACTTAGCTTCGCATACGAAGCGAAATACGGACATTAAGTAGTATAGTTAAGATGTATCTTTAATATAAATCGCTAATATACAAAATGTTCTTTGACTACCAATGGCGCAGCAATTCTTTAACTATTTTCAATTTCATTAACATATTTGGTATCTGTCAAGTAGATTTTCTTTTCATGAAATATCAGCTTCTTAAAAACAGAAGTGTCTTATAAACAAAAATTCTACATTTATTTTCACTTCTTGCTAGGAGTTCGCTTGAGCGCACAAAAGTAGGCAACACTTTTGAATCCTTGGCATTAAGCTCTGTGTGGTTCGTTAATGGACGCACACACGCATACATATTGGTCTACTTATTTATTAATTTCGCCACTTAAGACTTTAAGTGCCAACAAATGGCAAATAAATTACAATTACATGGCAAATAAATAAAACAGCCACAACAACAACAACAACAACTTTCCAAACACCCTCAAAATGATATCATTAAACAAATGAAAAGTGTCACAGCAAATAAAAGAGCTAAATTGTTGTTATTAATTAAGTGGCATTAACTGCCGCCCATTTGAAATCCGATGTGGACAAACTGAAAACCCGCAATCTGACACCAAACACCAATCAAAAATAAAGCAGCACCATCCACAACGCCACCCCCACCACCCCCAGCAGCAATGCAAACACCAACGCCAGCCATTTCAATTCCAATGACATTTTATTCCATTTAATTGACATTTTTTTCCACACATTTTTCATCAGTAATAAAGCTGGGCGTGGTCAGTGTCAGTTAGTAAAATATTTGAGCTCTCTAAATATTTATTCTGCCTATCTAATTCCTTATCCCCCTCTCTCTCTCTCTTTATATATATATATATATATATATATATATAGCTATCGCTCCGCCTGCGCTGCTAACCACATAGTTGTTAGCAAAATGTTTTTATGCCACAAAAATTTGATTTTAATTTGAATTTGATATGCGCATCAGCTTTAGTAATTGAACATTTTTCGTTCAATTTTATAAAGAATACTATTCATTTTTTTTGTGGTTTATTGTCAACGTATTCTGAATATAATCTTAAAGCCATGGTTTCTCATAAAAAATTGAATATTTCTATGTCAAATCAAGGAGATCGGTGCCGATTCAAATAAAACTTGCCCTAAAGCTGCGGTAGTTAGATAGAGAGTTAGATAGTTTTTCGATCAGAAACCATAGACAAGAGATTATAAGTGAAGTAGGACCCACCAAACCCTTAACAACCTACTAAACGTTGGTAAACACGAATTGGCATTGATTACTCAAAATTTATACATTAGTTGGGCATTAAAATTCATTAAAGAAAATTTTGCAATTCGTAATTTTGTAATTGCGATTTGCACGTCAAACGATTTAGCTATTTGCATTGGACAATCATTTCAGCTATCGAGCGGTAGGCCCATTTGACATATCTGTAATTATGATGACTAATGCATATCGAAGCCAATTTAATTTGTGCACTCACTTTGTCTACTTTTTGTATCCAATTTGTAAATTGGTAATGGGCCAAATATCATTGCCGCACATCAATCTATTTACAATTGCAAAGCAATTTGCACTTGTGTGTATGTGTGTGTGTGTAAATGTGTGCTTTATGTTATTCATAAAGCAATGCCACTGATAGCTAGTCGGCTGCTAGCTTTGCACAAACATGTGTAATTTGAAACAAGCTCGTAAATAAAATAGATGCAAATGCATTGGCAGCTGGCTAATTAGCCAGCAAAGCCAACAATTGAGCAACCAAACAGCTGCCATGGATCGTAATGCTACAGCATCAGATGGACTTATAGCCAGCCAAGAATCAAATGATTTAACACGCAGGCTGAGGGTAGCACAAGCAACTGGTAGTCGACAGAGCATATGGCCATAAGAATGGGCAGAGGCAGAGGCAGAGGCAGAGGCAGAGGCAGAGGCAGAGGCAGAGGCAGAGGCAGAGACAGAGACAGAGACAAAGACAAAGACACAGACAGAGACAGAGACAGAGACAGAGACACAGACACAGACACAGACAGAGACAGAGACAGCAGAATATGCTCTACACACAATCACTTCCGTTTACAGGGTATCATAAAGCCAAAATTGTAATAGATGTCGATGCAAAGATAGATTTTCGTGCAACGTTGCATCAAATAATTTCAAATCCACAAGCATATTGATACGGTCATCTAGCTAAGTGCGGGCCAATATGGCTGTGTGTGTATACATGTGTGTGTGTGTGTGTGTGCATGTGCATTGTGCCACATTCATTATATGGAATGCCTGCCAGCTGGCAGGCCATTGTCGTTGCTGCCGGCAAGCGAGTTGGCAGCCCGCAACTGTTATTAAACATTAATTTATGCATTACTAGACCGCTTAAATTAATCAGTAAATTGCATGCACACACATACACACGCACACAGGCACACAGACACACATCCTTAGGGACAATGGCAATCAATACTGAATACTTTAAACAAATTAAATTGCCACAAAAGCTGCTTGCTATTTGACAGTCCCTTTTATTTTTGAAATATATTTTTGCCTTTGTTCCCTCATTACGGGTCATCATTCGAATCAGGTTAAATCTGACTGCATTCGAAATGCCGGAATTAAAACTGAAATATATGAAAAGTGATTACATATAAAAGTGGTTTATTTATATATATATATATACATATATCTATATATGTATATTTAGGCCACTTCAAGCTTTAAAGTCCATCTAGTTGATTATTTTCTATGTTTTCTTCTCGCTGCACGTGCACAGCTTTAAGGGGCCACTGCAAGGGATTATCAGCATTTCTTTGTTGCAATCAGCATCTCAAAGCTCGAAATGCCCCAAGGTTCACGAGGCGCTGGCCTCAGCACGATTTTGCATATTCCTGCAGCTGGATGAAGAAGAGAAAAAAACAGCAGCAAAATGTGGCCACAGTCTGCATAGCTCTTGAAATATCTCGAATGCATAGAAATTCGATCTGGTAATAGCCAAATGGACTTTGCTTAGATAGTGATTGAAGTTAAAGTAAAATTGATACAATTATTTTGAAGCTCAGTAGATAGATAGACGATAAGAAACTATCGCTTGATTGGCAAATATCGCAGAATAATCGTTGTAATTGATGCCTTTGTTATCTCTAACGTTATGAATCCTTATAAACAACTAATTGTATTTGCTCTGCTTCAATCTCTCTCTCTTTTCAGCCCAACACTTGAAGACAGCGTACAAATCGTATTCTCGCTCTAGGTAAGTGCTCGGCAGACATGCAAATGTGGCCGCAGGTTTGCAATTTATAGGGGCGGGCAAAAATAATCAAAAGCAGGTGGAGAAAGCAAAGCAAAACGAAATTGTTATTCATTCTGCTAAGCAATTTGATTTACCTGCCCAGAGCATAGATCAGACTTAATCGTATTCCATGCGCTACGGCTCTGATGCAGTTCCGTAAGGTCAATTTAGTTCTTTTTTACGGTCAGGCAACTGCCTCCATGCCATTTTATTGTACGGCTTCTGTCAGTCTGTCGCGCGTCAGTCATTCGTTCAGTCTGTCTATCTGTCTGGCTGTCTGTTCGTCTGTCCGCTCGTCAACCGCTTCTGCCTTGGCCCCTCGCCCGCTTCGGCTCGGCTGAATGATAAATGGCCTGGCATTGCGGTTGTAGGCAACATTAAGCGTTGTTCAAGCGCCACAGATTGCAATTGTTGCCTCCCACGCCACTCCCTCCCTCTCTCTCACTCTCTCTCTGTCTCTCTCTCTATCTGCATCTGTCTCTGTACCGCCTTTCTAGCCAGCATCCATCCATTTACTAGCTGATTTTTTATGCGCTCCTCTAGCACTCGTCAAAGTTTTGCGGGCTGCTTTTTGTGCTGCTCCGGGAGCTGCGATTCTCTGACAGACAGCAACTTGTAATTTGTAATGCTCCGAGTACCGAGCTGTTTGCTGTTTGCTGTTTGTTGTTAGCTGCTGCTGTTGTTGCAGCTACCGGTTAACAGTTACCATCGCGCAGCTACCATTTACTGCTGGCCAGGCCATGATTTTCAAATGAAATGCATTTGTAAACTTTTGCGCTGATTTAATGATGTTTTATAGAAGCGTCTCCATGCTCCTTGAATGGAGCCACACTTCAAATAGTATCTCTCTGTCCAGCCCCATCTCTCAATAGCTGCACAAGTTGTTAGCCTTACAGCATAATAGCTGCACAAATCTATCCTCTTCCATTACTTCAAATTAAATTTTGCTGAAATTATCCCAAGCTGCATGTTTCGTACTTGTTTCTTGCACATGAATATGTATATATACATGTATATGGGCAGGAAAACCTATTTAAAGTAGATCATAAAGTAATGCAGAAATTATGGTTCAAGCGAGTAGCATGAATAACTTGCTGCAAAAACATTTATCTAGAGATGTTTGAAGTTGAGGAAGCTTTGGAAAATATATTCTACTCTATCCTACTCGTGGGAGTTCTGTCTTAAAGTGAGTGAGCTAAGTCGAGTGAGGTATATTACTTGCATATTTGATTACCGCCTCGAAGTCACGTGTCACTCAGAAAACTTGTAAATGCCTCGCTCAAGGCTGTGCCTGGCATGTAAACAGCATAGCATTGTAAACAACCTTGAAACTTGCATAGACAATGTAACCCATTCTTCAATATTCACACCTCTCTCTCTCTCTCGTTCTGTCTACTTTATTTTCTGCCTCACTCAATCGTACCGTCTATCCCTCTGTAACTGTCTTCTGCTCTATCTCATCCTCATTCCTATACACCTTGAGTCTTTCCTAGATCTCTCTCCCCTCTATATGTCTATCGCTCTATCTGTATCCTTCATTGATATGTTCTCTCTCTTACTCTCTTTCACTTTGTACTTGTCGCATTCCAAATCTTCTGCATTCTGCGTTCTCTTATCTCTTATCTTTATATCTCTGTTCACACTCTTCACACTTTCTATCTCTCCTCATCTCTCTCTCGGAATTCCGTACTCTTTTCTTTCTATTAATTTCTGTGTCGTTCTCTGTTACTCTCTCTTTCTCTCTCACATCTACGTTTCTCTCTTTCAGTTTCACTCTCTTTCCCTCTCTCTGTGTCTCTCTCAATATTTCCAACTCTCTTTAACCGCACACATCATTCATTCAATAACTCACAATGCCAATTGTCAGCAAATGCGTGCGATAAGGTGTAATCAAATTTCAATTGATTCAATTTTTATTTAATTTTATTTTTTCGCCTTGTTTTCTTGTTGTATATTATTTCGTGAAATTTGTTCATTCGGGCATTCATTTAATTTGCGCATCTAATTAGGGCCAATTATGTAATTAAAAACAGCCTAAAAAGAAATATTTGCATCTATTCGTATCAACATACACGAGTGCAAATTGTTATTAGTTCATTTTTTTTCTTTTTTTGAACATGGCAATAATAATTTATGCAGGAACCGGACGCATTCTGCGCCGCATAATAAACGCCAATTAATTATGATATCAGCAACAACAAAAAAATATAAACAGCTAGAAAGCTAAGACTTGAAGTGCCCGACTAAGAAATACCCTGCGCTTATTAAAGGCTAATTTTATGGTTTTCTTTTATAATTTTAGGATCATCTGCGGCAGGTTCTGAAGTATGAAAGTATTGAAGATTGAAGATTGAAGTGTAAAGATTGAAGTAAAAGTTTGAAAATTTTCGAGTCAGTTTTGTTTCTTCTTTGTTTCACTCTGGAAACAGAAAGACCTATGCTAGGCAGAGGCTGAACAGTTTCCAAGTTTTACCAAAACGCACTTTTCAATTGGTACATCATGCCCATGGCATGTAGATTGTACAGGGTATGCAAATTATGAAATCAGCGCTAAAGAAAAGCAACAACAAAATCTGTAAATTGCCCAATGAGATATGCAGAAAAAATAAACATGTTAAATGGTTTGCCCTATGTAGATAGAGTACACACAGATGTTTGCCCAAAAACAAGCATTGCATAATATATATGTATATATTTGAAAATACGATATATATATTTGAAAATAATGACAGCAGAAATATTGTGATGACTTTTTAATGAAATGCAACAACAACAAAACGTTGTCAAAGCGACGAGAGCAATTGGCGGTTCTTATCAACATTGTGGTTGAATTATGGTCAGCCATGTGTCAGCATCGCACCTGAGCCATCCAGGCAAACAGTTAGAAAATCTATTTAATTATTGTTATTAGATTTGGCTGGCTTTGTGGTAAACATGTTTGAAATTTATCAATGCCGCTAACGCTATTCAAACCATAGATGAACAATCCCATAGAATAAGCTCAAAAATCCAATCTAATTGACCCGTCAAAGATGTCTACACTACCTAGTCAGGGTTGAATAAGCTCACAAGTGCAAAGCTAATGCCTGTAAAATAGTAATTTTTCCATCCCAATACCTGCCTTAATTTTCCTTAGCAGAGCTTAACCTTAAAGGGTCGAGAGCTGCATTCCGACAGTTGCGAGCTGTCATAAGCAGTTTTCAATTAGCAAAAGTCAAATTTAGTATTAACCTAGCATAGAGTTGACATGTTACAAAATCTTTTCAGCACTTCGCGAATGCGAATTTGCATTCGCACACATTCAGAATTTATGTTGACATATTACTCATACGCAGTGTTGACAGTCGCTGGCTGATTGGCAAACATGTTGACAACATGCCGCTGTCACGGCCATTGCCCGGTTATTAGCTGACTTTGAATTTCGTTTTGCGCTTCCTCTACACATTTTTACTGCTGTTTGGCCAAAAACAAATCGACGTTTTATGGCTAGGCCATCAACCAGCCACAAACTATGCTGGCCCCTGGCGCAAATACATATAGAAAGCACGCTGTGTGTGTGAATCTTGGGTGCTTGCCATGTGCGCGCCATCGTTTTGCTGTTTGCTGTTGGCTGTTGGCAAAAGTTCTAATTTTTCAAACCACAAAATAAAAAACACATTTCTTATTACAAATCGAGCGACCGAGTGTGCCAAAAAAATATGCTACAATTCTCTCTTCTAGTCGGAACGACAACAGCGAACCAAACACACCCACCGCCCATTCCATACACATTCACATGCCTGACTATTACCCCTTTTACTTACGATTTGCCAGACTTGTTATGCATGTGGCGCATACCCTTTCCCATAGAGCTATATCAAATTTAACACTCTGTTTGGCCTGGAGTTATATGTGAGCTAACCTGAAAGAAGTTCAGCAATTTTTGAGTCAAGCTTCTAAATTTAGCTATTTGTGCTTAAAACAAATGCGACTTTTGTAAATGTAATTAAAATATAATTATTTCTTAGATATATCAACAAATTTATTTATGTAAAATATATAACAAAAATATTTGATTTTAAAAATATCACAAATATATTTGATTTAAACTATATTAAAAATATATTTTATTTAAATTATAAAACATATATATTTTTTTTTAATATCAAAAATATATTTAATAAATAATATTTTTGATTAAAATATTATATATATTTTACAATTAGTACATATACAATTTAGCTTACTCTAAATTACTCTATTTCATTATGCACCTAAATATTTTAATTTCTATTTTATTATTTTCTAATAATATTTCTTATGCTTAAAAAAATCTTTTAAGTAACTTTAAAATCTAATTTAATCTGGATTTTAATAATTTGTTTTATGTTTTTTAAAAATTGTTGACATCTTTACCTTTTGTTAGAGTATTTGGCACATCCGCTTTGTAATATCCTTTTTTATATATTTTTGGCTTGTGATTTTTTTATTTTGTTTTTGATTTCATTTTGTTGTTTGTTCGTTTTTTCATTTCATAAGTGAAGCGGGCAACCAGCAAACCAACTGACGCACTTATTTTGCGCTTTGAATCCAATCACGTACCAATTTCCAAATTTAACCTTTTTGAGCCTGGGCCGCCGTTCGTGCAGCAATTGGTGGCAATTGAACTTGGCGCTCTGTGGCTGAGCTCGGTGGCTCTGTGGCCGAGCCGGTGCCTACGCCAGTGCCCTGTGGTGTGCTGGCACTCGCTGTTGCCAATAAAAACCATTTGCCAGAGTGAAATTTATATGGGCGCGTCAATAAAAGAAAAAAAGGCGTTGGCAAATGATACGTGGCAGGGGCAAATTGCTGCCGGGGCAAATACACTTTGAACCGTTTCAATTGACCAACGGCCTATTGCTGTGCCGCAGTTCATCTGATCGGCACACCTGCTACCGCACTCCAGCTCCCTCGCTCTCTCTGCGTCTTTCTACTTTGATTAC